GGCAATATGCACACAGACCCTGCAGCATACTGACTTTCTTCTGCTCTCTCTGGACTGGAGTTCTTCTGGTTGTTGTCAGAGAGAATTTTTATATTGGCTTATCTCCTTCCATTAATGTTCAAGTAAGATATTTGGGCTAGTGGATATTCTCTGGGAGCCTCTTTTATGTTTTTTAAAACCCCCTGAAAAAATTGGTATTTGTTGGCTTTTGAATTCACCGTAGCTGTGGTGTCTAGTCAATCCATGTGTGGTCCTGGAATTTTGCAAAAACCATTTCCCCTTATTTGTACCTACTGCTTTCTGGGTCATGACATGGTAGGTTTCTAGTTGTCAGGTAGGAAGTGTGATCCCAAATTTGCAATGAAATGGTGGTGGCATCTCAGACAGTTCTATCTCTGTATTAGGCCCTGGTGTCAGGTTCTGCATGGAGTGGGTATTCAAGGTGTCAGCTACTTCTGAGAAATTTACTTGGTAAAATTTTTGACTTCTTAATTCCAGAGGCTTCTAAGGCTGGAGTGTATTCTTGGAAAAATATAGTTGATCCTTCAGGCTAAAATGGGACAAGTTGATAGTGAAAAGGATGGGAGGAGAACCTGGATGTGTTCCATGGTCATTTGAGGGCAGATCTAATTTAGGAAACCACATGTATGGAAGATGAGTATGTGGAAATAGATTCCATTAGGATTTTCCCAGCCCAGCCACTGCTATAAAAGTGTCCTTGAATGATTGGAATCTAGTTGTCCGTGTGAGAACCATTGTATTTTTTTTTTTTGGTAGATATTACTCAGCATAGTGAATGAGAACCTGAGAGACATGGGGAAAAATAGACAATGAGCAAAAAGGGGAAGGACAGGAGAACAGGGGTTTGTACTAGGAGAAATCCAGGAAAATAAAGTAGGTGTAATATGGGTGTAACCCAGTGTCTCTTCATCCTGTTTTTCTCTGAATATCAGGTTGTATGCATACCCTGCCACATACGTGAATGCATTCAGCTCTTCTCTAGGTTAGAAACCCTCTTTTTATTTTTGGAGGATCATCTCTAATGTGAAATTCTCCTCCCCATGTCAAGCAGGAAAATTTGTTGTAGTACTGGATTTTCTTAGGGGGCCTTTTTATTTTTCTTATTTTCAATATCTAATTAAAAAATACTAGAACAGTAGGTTTGTTCATAGCTGAGAAGTCCCCATATATCATAATCTCCTGCCTTGGGCTTTCGAATAGTCCAGAATGGAGTCCTTGCCCACAGTCCTTTTATGTTGGCCTGGCTGTCCAATTGATTCAGAGTGTATTCTGATGGCAATTTGTTTGCTGTGTCTGCAGTTCTGTTATTGTTGAGGTTGGCTTCATGAGCACAAAGAGAAAGTAACTTTCTTCTCTTTACATATGAAAATTAGCTTGAGGATCTGTTCTTCCTTTGTATGGGAAGAGATCTTAGGAAGTTCCAGCAGTTACTTGCTTACTTTTAAATAACCTGATGGTCATTTCCAAGCATTTGGAAACCCAATCTAGAATAGTAATCATAACCCGCAACTCCTGAATATTGAAAAATTTCTTCCTACTCCCATTTGACACCTACTGTTTGTTGGCTCTGTGTCAGTGGGAGAGAGATTTAATCTGTCTGACATTGGCTTTAGTTTCCTCTAGTGTAGGTGGGAGATATTTCATGACCCTCACTATGTGTGAAACTGAAACAGGATGGTAAATATAAAGCCTTAATACAACTCCTGATACTAAATATCACAGGCCCCTTGCAGCTTTGGGGTTCTGACTCAAGTTAGAGAACCAGTCATACTTTGTAAGTATGACTAGACAGAATGAGCGAAAATAGGAGAGGAGTAGTGAAAAATAGAGAAAGGGGAGTTTAGGGGTGAAGCAGAGAAAAAAGAGACAGAATTTTCAGAAAGTCATGGTCAGATAAAGTGAGGAAGAGCCAGTATACTTTTTCTTATCTTATTGGAGCTGTCAGGGAGAATGCAGAGCTTCCACATGTGTGACTGCCTCCATTTCTCCCTAGGCCTGAGTCCTCCTGGTTGTTCTTAGAGACAATTTATATATTGGGTTATCTCTAGTGTGATAGTGTCTCTACACTTTCAAGCCTGGGTGTTTAGCCTTGTGATTTTTCTGAGGGAGCCTGTTTCATATATTTAGAGCCCTCTTAAAAAGACTTGGTATTTGTTGGTTGTTAATTTCACCATAGCTTCAGCTTCCTAGTCAAGCCAAGCCCACCATTGTGAGGAAGCCTTTATTCTGTCATACACCAGTTTCCATATTTGTAGTCTGTTTTCCTGATGTAAAGAGACATGTTGGGGTCCAAATAGTTTTTCTGCCATTTCAGAAAACCCTGAGAAAGTACTAGAAAAATGTATTAGTGGAGAGCTGACAAGTCACAATGTGTCATTATCTTCCACATTGTGATATCAGATATTACAGCGTGGATGGCTTTATGGCTCTCCTACAGTCCTCAGTATGACTTCTGGAATGTCATGTAATTTTAGAGCATTATCAAATTAGAATTTGATCAGTTTTTCTTCATTCTGGTTTCTATTGATCTGATATAAATGGGATACAAAAGAAATCAACTTTATTCTTTATCTTTTCCCTATGGGGACTATGTTGGGGACCTCCTCTTCCCAGGTCTGGGAGGAAAACCCAGATATTCCCATAGCTTTTCTGGTTACTCTTATATAGCTAAATTTCTCTTTTTTATTTTAATTTTTTAAATTTATTTTTTAGAGAGAGAGAAAGTGTGCTTGTGATGGCTGGGGCGGGGGGAGGGTGTTGGGAGGGACAGAGGCAGAGGGAAAGAGAATCTTAAGCAGGCTCTATGCCAAGTGAGGAGTCTGATGCAGGGTTCGATCTCACAACTCTGAGATCATGATCTGAGCTGAAATCAAGAGTCAGTTGTTTAACTGACCAAGCCACCACACCTGTTTTATTTTATTTTTTTTATTAGAATTTTTAAAAAAGATTTTATTTATTTATTAGAGAGAGAGAGAGAGAGAGAGAAGAGAGGGAGAAGCAGGCTCCATGCAGGGAGCTCGACGTGGGACTCGATTCCAGGTCTCCAGGATCACACCTTGGGTTGAAGGCGGCTCTAATCTGCTCAGCCACCAGGGCTGCCTTTTATTAAAAATTTTTAAAGTTTTTATTTTAATTTCAGTTAGTTAACATATAGTGTCAAATTAATTTTGGGCATACAATATAGTAATTCAACACTTCCATACAACACTGTGCTCATCACAGCATGTGCACTCCATAATCCCCATCACCTATTTAGCACACCCACCATCCACCCACCTTTCCTCTGATAATCATCAGTTTATTCTCTATAATTGAGTCTGTTTCTTGATTTTGCTTCTTTCTCTCTCTTATTTTTGTCCCTCTGCTTGTTTGTTTATTGTTTCTTAAATTTCACATATGAGTGAAATCATACAGTATTTGTCTTCTCTGACTGGCTTATTTTGCCTAGCGTATATTCTCCAGCTCCATCCGTGTCATTGGAAATGGCAAGGTTTCATTCCTTTTTATGTCTGAGTAATATTCCATTGTATCTGTATAACACATCTTCTTTATTCATTTATCAGTCAGTGGACACTTGGGCTGTTCCCATAATTTGACTATTATAGGTAATGCTGCTATAAACATTGGGGTGCATGTATCCCTTTGAATCAGTATTTTTGTATCATTTGGGTACAAAATACCTAATAGTACAATTGCTGGACTGTAAGGTAGTTCTATTTTTAATTTATTGAGAATTCTCCATACTGTTTTCCAGAGTGGCTGAACTGGTTTGTTTTGTACCCACCACAGTGTAAGAGGGTTCCCCTTTCTCCACATCTTCACCAACACCTGTGTTTTGCTGTAATGTTGTTTTAGCCACTCTTGACAGGTGTGAGATGGTATCTCATTGTAGTTTTGATTTGCATTTCCCTCATGACGAGTGATGTTGAACATCTTTTCATGTGTCTGTTGGCCATCTAGATGTCTTCTTTGGGGGAACGTCTGTTTATGTCTTCTGTCCATTTTTAAATTGGATGATTTATTTTTTGGGGGTTCATACTTTAGAAGTTTTTTAAAATATATTTTGAATACTTATCAGATATAATTTGTAATTATCTTTTCCCATTCCATAGCTTGCCTTTTAGTTTTGTTGATTGTTTCCTTTTCTGTGTAGGAAACTATTTTCTAGTTTCATTCTTTTGTGTGTGGCTGTTCAGTTTTCCCAGCACCATTTGTTGAAAAGTCATTCTTTTTCCCATTAGATATTTTTTCCTGCTTTGTCTAGGATTAATTGATTATATAATTATGGGTCCATTTCTGGGTTTTCTATTCTGTTCCATTGATCTATGTGTCTTGTTGTGCTAGTATCATACTATTTTGATTACTACAGCTTTGTAATATACTTTTAAGTCCAGAATTGTGATTCCTCCAGCTTTCCTTTTCATTTTCAAGATTGCTTTGGCTATTTGGAGTCTATTGTGGTTCTGTACAAATTTTAGGTTTGTTTGTTCTAGCTCTGTGAACAATATTATTGGTATTTTGACAGGGATTGCATTAAATGTGCAGATTGCTATGGATAGTATAGACATGTTAACAATATTTGTTCTTCCTGTCCATGAGCATGGAATGTCTTTCCATTTCTTTGTGTCTTCAATTTATTTCATCAGTGTTTTATAGTTTTCAGAGTATAGGTCTTTCACCTCTTTGGTTAAGTTCATTTCTTGGTATCTTATTGTTTTTGATGCAATTGTAAATGGGATTGTTTTCTTAATTTCTCTTTTTTGCTGCTTTACTATTGGCATATAGAAATGAAACAGATTTCTGTACAGTTAGTTTGTATCCTGTGACTTTACTAAATTTATCAGGTTTTTTTCAGAAGTCAAAGATTTCTATTGTTCTACAGACACTTCTGAAAAGAGATTTAATTGAGAAAATATACAAAACATTTAAGAGTTTATCTCCAGAGAGCACCTAAATCTTTCTAGAGGTGTCAAAGCCTCAAAAATATGGGCTGCTTCATGAATTTGCGTGTTACCTTGTGCAGGGACCATGCTAATGTTCTCTATATTCTTCCAGTTTTAGTATATGTGCTGCTGAAGCACTCGATTGTCAGTTCTAACAGTTTTTTGGTGGAGTCTTTTGGGTTTTCTGTAGAGAGTATCATGTCATATGCAGATAGTGAAAGTTTGACTTCTTCCTTGCTGATTTGGATGCCTTTTATTTCCTTTTGTTGCCTGACTGCTGAGGCTAGGACTTCCAGTACTATATTGAACAGAAGTGGTGAGAGTGGACATACCTGTCTTGTTCCTGACCATAGAGGAAAAGCTCTTAGTTTTTCTCCATTTAGGATGATATTAACTGGATTTTTCATATGGCTTTAATTATGTTGAGTTATGTTCTCTTTAAACCTACTTTGTTGAGGCTTTTTATAATAAAGATTTTATTTATTTATTCATGATAGACAGAGAGACAGAGAGAGGCAGAGACACAGGCAGAGGGAGAAGCAGGCTCCATGCCGGGAGCCCGACGTGGGACTCGATCCCGGGACTCCAGGATCGTGCCCTGGGCCAAAGGCAGGCACCAAACCACTGAGCCACCCAGGGATCCCCAGTTTTTTTTTTTAATCAAGAATGGATGTCATACTTTGTCAAATGCATTTTCTGTATCTGTTGAAATGATCATATGGTTCTTCTTTTTTTTGATCATATGGTTCTTATCCTTTTTTTCATTAATGATTGATTTGCAAACACTGAACCACACTTTCAACCCAGGAATAGATCCCACTTGATGGTGGTGAATGATTTTTTTAAATGTATTGTTGGAGTTGGTTTGCTAGTATTTTGTTGAGGATTCTTGTGTATGTGTTCCACAGAGATATTGGCTTGTAGTTTTCTTTTTTGTGGTGATTTATCTGGTTTTGGTATTAGGGTAATGCTGGTCTCATAGAATGAATTTGGAAGTTTTCCTTCTTTTTCTATTTTTGACTAGTTTGAGAAGAATAGGTATTAACTCTTCTTTAAATGTTTGGTAGAATTTACCTGTGAAGCCATATGGTCCTGGACTTTTGTATGTTGGGAGTTTTTTGATTGCTGATTTAATCTCTTTTCTGGTTATCAATCTGTTCAAATTTTTAATTTTTCCTGTTTCAGTTTTAGTAATATATATGTTTCTAGGAATTTATCCATTTTTTAAGGTTGTCCAATTTTTTGGCATTTAGTTTTTCATAATATTCTCTTATGATTGTATTTCTGTGGTATTGGTTGTTATTTCTCCTTTCTCACATATGATTTTATTTATTTGGGTCTTTTCTCTTTTTGATAAGACTGGCTAGGGGTTTATCAATTTTATTAATTTTTTCAAAAATCCGATTCTGGTTTTATTGATCTATTATTTTTAAAATTTCTATATCATTTATTTATGCTCTAATCTTTATTATTTCTTTCCTTCTGCTGGCTTTAGGTTTCATTTGTTCTTTTTTTAGCTCCTTTAGGTGCAAGTTTAGGTTGCTTGAGATTTTTCTTGCTTCTTGAGGTAGGCCTGTATTGTTGTATAGTTCCTTCTTTGACCTGCTTTTGCTGAATCCCAAAGATTTTGATCCATTTTGTTTTCATTTTCATTTGATTCTATCTATTTTTTTAATTTCTTCTTTTATTTCTTGGTTGATCCATTTATTTTTTGGTAGCAAGTTACTTAACCTCCATGTGTTTATGATCTTTCCAGATTTTTTCTTGTGGTTGACTTCTACTTTCATAGTGTTGTGGACAGAAAAGGTACATGGTACAACTTCAGTCTTCTTGAATTTGTTGAGGCCTCTTTTCTGGTCTAATATGTGATCTGTTCCAGAAAATGTTCCATGTACACTTTTCATTGCTTTCATTTTAGTGTAGTCTGAGGCCACTCAATGATTGTAGAGTTGTCATGTGGATACAAGAAACACAGTCTTTTCTTCTGCATGTGATGGAAGTGCACTTCACTCCCGAACCAGCATTATTGCTATACCTTTCAGCAGGTGCAGCTTTAGTCTCAGGTTCTTGACTTGATTATGTGAGCCAAATATTAATTCTTCTGTTTTTCACAAACTACACAAGACATAAGACAAACTTTCTGAAGCTTTTTGTTACTTGCTTGAAGCAAATGAGAAATAATCTTTGTTCTTCAGTCTTTGTGGTGGAGAAATTTACCACATTCCCTTTCTTAGGGTCTTTTTATCCACATGCAGAATATAAAACTTAATTCTATAGTAGATGGAGGTGTAGGACACCCCCCAGTCAGATCCCAATACACAGCTTATCAATGCACACACATACTACTGTAACTGATACTGCTGAGTGTATTGTGGGAGAGTTAAGTATGTGTAATTTTTCTCTTGATTGTAAGGGATGTTCCCAGCAGTAAATGGAATAATAGAATAGTGGTAGTGGGATGAGTATACAACTGGGAGCCCACCAGGCGTCCCCAGCCCAGCCATGAGGTATCAGTACAGCAGTGTAGGATTCTGATTTGAGGTATGCATAACTGGAAGCCTCTACATTGCCCAAGGAAATAAAAGAGGTAGATGTGCTTAAATGCTTAAAGGGACTATAACATTTATGGTAGTCCTAGGCAGCCAGTGAAGAAAACAAAAGGTACTTGGGGCCTTATTATAGATTACAATAAGCAGACCTCCTTGCCCTGGTAGTTGTAGATATCATAACATTTTAGGACTACATTGTACATACTGAAGGGTCTTGTGTGCAGTGGTGGGACATGCTAATTGTTTTTTCAGACTCCATCAAACCCATGTGAGTAAAGTCTATTTGCCTTGATGGGTCACATTACTTTATACATTAATGTGGAATTAAGATCCATTATTTTGGGGCACCTGGGTGGCTCAGTGATTGAACTTCTGCCTTTGGCTCCAGGGTCCTGGGATCAAGTCCCACATCAGGCTCCCCACAGGGAGCCTGCTTCACTCTCTGCCTATGTCTATGCCTCTCTCTGTGTGTCTCTCATGAATTAATAAATACAATCTTTTTAAAAATCTATAATTTCTCACCAGTGGATAGGTCAAGACCTAGAAAAGACCAGTACCTCATCAGACATGTCTCAGTACCATTTCATGGATGATATTATTTTGATTGGAAGTGACAAGAGCAGTGGATGGTCTGTCTTAGATAGTGGGTCCAATTTCCTTGTAATTGGCACTAGAAGATTAACCCTTTACATATTAAGGAACAGCAGCCACCCAAGTAAGGAAATGACACCGTTTGGGATCTTGTTTTCCCTTCCTAGTACTCAACTATTCACATTCTTACATCTGTAAAACAATGTATTATAGTCTATTAATGCCACTAGGTACTTGAAAGTATTCCTGAGATTAAGTCATTAATATGACATCCGATATTGGCAACTTAATGTCTTTGAGTATGTCAAGGTAATGTTGCCATTTGTGGTTTTTTTTTGCTGTATTTATTTATATTGAAATAAAGTTGACACAAACTCAGAGTTTAATTAGTTTCAGGTGTACAACATGGTGATTCTGACACATCTGTACATTATGCTATGCTCACTACAGTGTTGCTATGTGCTTTTGTTTTTGGTCTTGCCTGATACCACCACTGGGTGTACTTCATTTAAGGGACCAATGCTGGCTTGTTTGTGAGTAATGATGGACATTAAGAGAGCAACACATCAAGAGCAGGGGTTTTTATACCCTCACATCTCTATCAAGGGATTGGTTAAGATGAGAATCCCATGAAGTGGTTATGGCACATGAGCCTCCATATTTACACTGTAAGTGCTGTATCAAGGAAATAAATTAAGTGGACATTAATGGTATCTTGCAGCTACAGGAAAATGTACCTTGTCACTCTCCAGATATGGTTGTCTTAGATGCAAAGGTTGGAGCATCAACTCGGGCTTCTTGGTGTCTTTGGTACACCAAGTTTCTTGTGGATGCCTGGGCCACAAGAAAGTCCAGTGGGGGATATGGGCCAGTGTAGCTGCATAACACCAAAGAAAACCATTTATAATTGTGCCTGGGTTGGGAATTCTGCTCAATTAGTGCAGTTTAGGATATGATGCTTATCCTGGAGAATAAGCATCTAAATGAATCTTGCTGCATTTTTACTGACTTATATGCAACTGATGATGTCCTAGCAGTGTGGGCTGGTGGCTGGCAGCTGAAAGGCTGGATGATCAATTTTTTTAATTTATTTATTCATGAGAGATGCAGAGAGGGAAGCAGAGACACAGGCAGAGGGAGAAGCAGGCTCTATGCACCGGGAGCAAGACGTGGGATTCGATCCTGGGTCTCCAGGATCGTGCCCTGGGCCAAAGGCAGGCGCCAAACCGCTGCGCCACCCAGGAATCCCTGGATGATCAATTTTTAGACTTTATTGGAATGAACATTATCAGCAGAATGCTAAAAATGCATACCATTTATTCATGTGTTATGTGACCATTGGTAGGGACCCTTTGAGGGAAATTCTGTGGAATCAACAAGCTCATCAAACATGTCATGCCCAGATTAGGACCAATGCTAACTGGAGAGTCCATGCAACAAGGCATGGTAATTTATCTGTAATTTGGGACCTGGCTCAAAACAAGACCCAGAGTTTTCCATTGCTTGAGGCCATGGAATCTTGGAAATGTGCAGAGCACCAATTCCACAGTCAAGTAGAGAGAATCTCTGTGTCCCATAGCCAGAAATACTAAAGCTGGTATTCTGTTCTTTCAAGTGTACCATTGGTCATGGACTGTAGTAGATACCTTTTCTGACTATGGTATTGCCAAATCCATTTTTGGAGCAGTTTGGGGAATTTTTGCAATAGACTTGGACTTTACTTTGTGTTTGCATTCATTGACTGCTTCCAGTCAGACAGCATTGCCTGGTATATAGGAAGAAGTGCCCAGAATTTTGAGCTCCCTGGATATTTTCTGGGCTATTCCTGCTTTGTAGAATAGCTAGGTAGCTGGTACTATTCACTGAAGAATGGCTTGGATTCTCATAGAAGAAACTAAAAAATAGAAAGGGGTGACTGCTGCTTAGTTCCCAGTAGAAAGCAAGTCACTTTGGGTTCTAAATGTGGCAGTTCCCCAGAAGGGAGCCTCTTATTTAAAT